TCCGAGGCGCGGTTGAAGAGTTATTAACAAGAAACCCCGACTAATCAGAGCGCTCGGTTGGCGCGAGCTCCGAATCGAGAGCGTTGGCTCGGATCCGGACACCCGGCTTATCAACAATCTACCTTTTCCCCATCCATTCCATTTGAATAACGATTAAATATATTAATTGTTATTAATTTCCTTGTATTGTTATTCATGTAGTTTATTATTCGTCATTTTCTTAAAACGCTTCGTATTGAGCGGAGCGATTGTCCACGCGTTAAAGACCGTGCGTCCGGATCCGAGCCAACGCTCCCGATTCGAAGCTGGCGCCAATTGAGCGCTCTGATTGGTCAGGGTTTTTTGTTAATAACTCGTCAACCACGCATCGGATAACTTTTCCGCTAAAGAAAATGTTGTTTAAAATTATGTCAGGAACCTCTTAGTTCAATATCTTATACTAGTTTTGGGACACCCTGTATAATCGAGAAACTGAAGGTTTAATTGGTGGGCCTGGGATTGTTGTTGAAATTGGACGAAAATGGTTTGAAAGAGGGCGGTTGCATTAAGTAGTATGGATATTAGATGCAATTCTTATAGTTATTATTATTTCAATCTAATCAACATCGAAGATTACCCTTAGAATAAATATTTACCTTCATTTTCATTCTTTGTTGCAGTTTAGAAATATTCAACAGGTATGATAGAACAAGAAGAACAAAAATATCGTCTAGTCTACGTACAGATATACCCTGAAAATGAACGCGACAGAAGTACCTTATTAAGATTAATTAGGAAGCATGTATTTGTAGGGACAGAAATTCATACCGATTGCTGGAGGGGTTACATAAATTTAAATAAATACGGTTACATCCACGGAAGTGTAAACCATATCAGTACCAATTTTATGGATCCAGAAAGCGGAGCATACACTCAAAATATCGAGTCGTCATGGCTCCACGAGCTCGACTAAGTAGAGGTGGTATCAGAGAAGATAATTTGATTGACCATATATGCGAATTCCTCTGGCTTTACAAGTAAAGAGAAATGGAAAAGATTAATTTTTGCAATTAATAGAAGATATTAAATATGTGTATGCCATAAAGTAATAAAAAAAAAAAAACATTATAAGACCTTAAAATACTAATCTGAGCTTATAACTAACTGTTTCAACGTAAAGTACGATCTGTTTAAAACAGGTACAAGGACATTAGATTTACATTTACACAAGGACATTACATTTAGATTTTTAAGAGTACGACACACCCACGGTCATGACTGTGTCGGTAACATAGAAAATGACTGAAATGGTAAATTTTTTTTCGAGTCGCCAAGAATTCTCGCGATCATGATTTTTATCAGAAAAGTTTCAGCCAATTCGGAGCATGGGGATTTTCGGAAGTTTAGCCCAAAATGCAGATAAATAAAGTTATGTATTCTGAATATATATATTAGTAACATTATTTCATTATAACATAGACATAAAACAAAAATTTATAGGTAATATGTTTTGACTTTTGCCGTTATCTATTTTAAATTGCACTCTCCGGTTATAGAAAAATTTCAATTACTGCTCGTGGCAGCTAGAAAAATAGAACACAACTACCACTGAAAATGTAAACGATATATTAGTACGCAATGACGTATCTGTACCGAGGTCGGGTATTAGCCGATGATTCATTGAACTCGGAAGATATTGAATGTTATTCGACGCAACGAGTAGTGTGCATGTGTGTACAACAGACCGCTTCATAATTCACGTTCCAACTGAAAAGAGGACGATTTCTCATTCGAACATATGCCGAAAATGACGAATTGTGTGCTCGAGGAGATCTATACGCGATAAAAATGACTACGGGCAAAAAATGTATCCTTAAGGCTGCACGTACGGAAATTTCACATAGATCTGCGCTATTATTTGGGCACATGTAGATGAAATACCGACTGGAATAGCAAGGATAGAAATAGCAAAGCATATACGCGAGAGAATAATGTAAAAAATTTCGTTCGGAAAAGTGTTGACATTACCGCACACAAATTGATGAAAACGATTTATGTTCCGTTGGACCTTGATCAAGATTTCTGAATAAAAAAAAAAGAAAGAAGTTGGGAACGCCGATAGAGTATAAAAGGTGAGCTGGAACATGATTCGACTGCACGTGCGTTCGATTTCGAAATATTTTTCCATAAAAAAGAACTTCAATCGAGATCTTCGGGTTTTTTTTGGATGAAGTCTCTCACCTGCCTTCCGCTTCGATTCTGAAGTCAATCTTGCGTAATCTTATCATCTGACTGATTGCTAAGATCTTTTAATTTCCATTGATCGTTTTTAGTGATCTACTTAAATTGTATTTTGATGATCTACATAAATTAAGTAAGTAGTATGTCATGATTTTTACATGTTTACATAATATAAACTGCTAGCATTACTGAATCGCATTGACATTTCAATGATGATGGTATAAACGTAAATCTATCAGGATAAAGACAAGAGGAGCAAAAACACGATTATTAAAAAAGAAATTCCTCATCTTTCTCCAGATGTGAATGGCTATATTTATAAACTCGAAGATAGGAGGCAAAAGGTGGAAGCCAAAGAATTCTGCATTGAAAGAGCGTTGACTTCTTTCTTTGGTCGATTACAAATTGCTCTCCTGTTACCGTCGCGCTACATTAAGTATTACTTCACACTAGCCGGTCACAGTGCCACTGTCACATCACACAATTTAACGATCGAATAAAATCACAACTGGTTTACGTGTTAATGATTCGATTCTACGCGATCACACCGTGGCGTGAATGCTACTGTGTGAATCGACCTTAAACCGACTACACCGTTGCCTAAAGATCGACCCGTTTTCAACTTTCTCATCGAGACAACCGAAATCTGTATGGTTAATAAGCCATCACGGCCGTCACGAGAAACTCTGACGTGTGAAAATAATCCTGCTTGAATACGCCTTCCCCTACGCGCAGCGTTTCCTAAATATTCGGCTCACGAATTTGAATGAATCAATCTTCTCCAACTCTCTAACGAACTTTCTTCTAATCTGCGTCGCGCTCCTTGAGAAAGGCAAACCTTCTGGGCATAATTGACGTATCCTTCTTCTTCGACCGATAAAGATTACCGCAACTAATGCTTCTCAAAGATAACCAATCGGTACAAGGAAATTGAGTTGCGGTTATTAGTCGCAAAACTCTAATACTTGACTGATACCGGACAGAGATAGGAATTATGGAAAGTTTCGTGAAATTACAATTCACATAATTAAATTAATTTTTCGCGTAAATCCTTCCATGAGGATAAATAATATCATCTGATGTAGTAGGTCCGAGTAATAAGTTCGGTTGATGATTGATTTGACTGATGACGCATTGTTTGTTATGAAATTTGACTGATTGCAGTGATGCGACCAATGTATTCGAAGCGGCGAGGAACGTTCTCCGTACACGTGATTTCGGTCAACGAACCTGTCGCGTATTTTTCACGGTGTTTTCCTCTTAATTGGATGCAGCAATTACGCGCTAAACACGTATACGCGTTCCACACGTTTACGTAACCGCTTATGATATTCCTACGTTTTTCTTGCAGTTGCCAGTCTTTGACCGTCAACTTTTCCTCTTTTAAATGGCAAGGAACTGGCGCACACAACCAACATTTCCCGGTTTCATGGAAAATATTTTCGAGACAATTCTAGCACAGTCGTACCTGGTCTTGCATGTTTATTAATTACTGAATCGTGTATCTGTAGAATAATTGTATCTGCAGAATTTAAAAGATCTATAAAAATGAACAAAACAACAAAAGTATAATACACACCGTCATTTTTCAAGGATACAAGAAATCTTAATCTCAATTTCATTTTCTAAATTCACATAAAAAAGGTTTTATTTTACATAAAAATCTGCAATTTATTAATTACTATCTCACATTCATTTATACGGTATAGCAACATATTTTCGGATGGAATTCAAGTCAGTTCGCTGACTGGAAAGTAGCAATAAAATTGTCAACATCGAAATATATGATAAACAGGATGTCGTTTTATTACCCGGGATCCACTTGAATGAAGCGTTTGGTACTAAAGAGAAACAATAAAAGAAGGTTTACATAAACGTACGACCTACTTGCCCTTGTCCTCAGGTAGTGATCACATCCTCCATTCCGTTGCTTCACCTTCAATCAGTATTACCGATCTCATTCAACTTCTTCAATCAATTTATAAATTAGCTATGTTCCTCAATCAGATCGCAGTATCCTTTATAGTGTACAAAAGTGAAGTTATACGGCACACGTGCATATCATATCCAAGTATCCATCCTTCTACTGCTTTTGCATAATACGCATTTAACAAAATGCATTTTTCTTTTCTATTTCACTATTTTAATTCTTACACATTCTGCGAACGTATTAATAAAGAATTAAAACTTTTTTTATGAAGTTTCCTCGCACAGAAAAAATAAATTCTAAGTGCACCTCGCTGTGCACCAAGGCATTCATTTGATATCACTCTTTCATTAATTTCCATAATTAACTTGTTATACCTTTTTCATTTTTTATTGACTACATATCTGAGGCTTGAAGTACCAATAAATAGATAATTGTAATATTTTCTTCCACGACAGTTTTTCAAGTGTTATATGACAATTCTGATAAGAAGGATTATGGACAAGATGGACGGAATGAGTTTCGTTGTATCCCTTAACTTCATGAATGTTCGATTTTATCAATAAAGTTGGTTACAGCATTCGTACAGGCATCATAGCATGTAGAGGCAAAGAGTCAGTACGGCGCGGCGCTCCCACTCTCTCTCTTCTCTCATTACGTACGTGGCTGATCGCAACGGTTCGGGAGGAGAGACACATTACTCGCGCGCGCGTAAGTATCCTCCGGTCTCGCGCGCGCATCGATAAGAGGTAGCCAGCCCATCGACGTCGTCGTCGTCGTGGCCGCCACGGCTCGAATGCTCTTACCCCCATCATCGTGCTCAGAGCCTCGGCCAATGTATAAATGCACCAGCGATTGACAGAACGTACAGTTCACGTTTTGACGTCTCTTACGATACTTTTACGCGTAGCATACTTAACCACCGGTGGATACACGTGAGCAGCCTCAGCCACGTGCTTCCGCCAAAGAGTATCCGTTTCCAATATGAGTTTTCACCCTTTAGTTTCCGCCGCTTCCAACCGTGGTTCGCGTTCACTGATGTTGCTGTTCGCATTGCTCGAGTTGAGCGGAGCGGTGGACAAACCGGAAGCGGTGCTACTGGACTTCTTGACGAAGCCCTTTGCACCCTCCGACGGAGCGTCGGAACGGTGCCTCACAGACAGCGCGCTTTACTTGAGGGAACTCGATTGGTACGCGCCATGGGCCCTGCAAAGTAAGTCGACATTCCTCCTCTCTAACGTTATGTATAAAATCGTTTTGTTAACAAACAAACTAAAAACGTAGGCTTGAAATAGACTGAAAAGTCTCATCGTCAAATTTTAACTCTATGCCTCTACTATTAGTACAATTGTAAATCAAACGTGATTTGTAGTTTACACAGTGCAATCTGTAAGACTACAGGCTTGAATTTTGAAACTGTTGTGCGAATTTAAAAAAAGAGCACGCATCGCATTACTTTTGCTATAGATACATAAGAGTAATTCAGTTTGTCTTTTGTGTGTGCATAAACCAGATTTAGATAGTGAATTGCCTAAAAGAGGTGCTGGGAAACTCAACAGTATCTATTAGAATCAAAGATAGTGGACTGATAATGCGAAGATATTATCAGGGATAACTGTACAGCTAAAATTCAGTCTTCTGCCCAAGGCATGTGCTAAATGTACACACGCCGTATAGTAATGTAATCAGATTCTAAAAAAAACCTCTCTTATCTATTTGACAATTTCTCAATGCCTCTTAATCCGTGAACTGGGTCACTTCTTAATCGGAAACTTCATCAGCCGCGGCATCGGAGGTGATAAAATCTCTCGTAAACGGGAAAGGCGGATGAGTCAACTTTTTATTCGGGAAAATCGTTACAGCTTTTATTCTATCTTTTATTGACTCGTAACTGACAGACGTTTATTGTCAGACTGTAAGGTCGTTCCAGTCTTATTTAAAAAAACAACTAAAGAAAGATTCCGATGATTTAATTAACTCTTTGAATGGTTCCACTATCATTTACAAGAAATTCGTTTTGATTACATGATCTATTAATTTAATTGATTAATTGATGTATTCATTTAATTAATGTATTTACAAGAGAAAAGAGAAAAGCAAGATAAAATTAATTCAAATATAAGAACATTGGACAATCTGATCAACCATACTAATTAAAGTACACTGCAATATTCTGCGAAGACCAATCGTTCTACGCGATATAAAATTCATTAATTGGAGAAAATTATTGGTAATCGGCCATGAATTTCCTCATCAATTCAATAAAATGTTGATAGCCAACGCTCGCGCTTCCCGGAACGTCTTAGTTATAGATAAACGTGATCTGGAAAATCAAAAATAGTAACACGAGAAAGCTATTTATCAATTGGGTACTGATTCATATGCCGCGAGCTCTGCCTGGAAAGTTTTGTCAAATTTCTCGCGCCTAAAATGAAGTTCAATCAACGCGGTAATGAAAACGTACATAGGACTAATTATTATACAAAACATTACACAAAGTAAAGTGCAATATGTTATCCAGAACATTACAAAAAGTATTGTTGAAAATATTGAACAAACAGTACCCTGCATTTATTCTGAGTCGATAAGAAAGAAGAGTGAAAAAGTATTGCTGATGATGATAATGACCGTGATGAGAAGAGAAACGCGGGCGCGGAAGAGGTGTGTCCGGTTCCTCTCGGAAGAAGGTCGGACGATGCGTGATGATCGCGTATCGTTTGGCAAAAACACGCATTTCGCGTACATACTCAAGTGATAAGAGAAAGACAGAAGGGAAGGAAAACGCGCTCGAGGGGATCGCGAACCACACGGGTTTGTTGGCCGAATTATCGGGCAAGTTTGATTACTATATATTGTACTCAGCTGAACTGTTGTTGCATACTCATCGTTCTCGTAATTATTATTTATCGGTTGGATTTAAACGAACCGAGACAATTCCGAGAACATTTTCATATCGTTTCCGACAAATTTTATTGGCTTGTATCGCAATTCAATTGCAGTTGAACATGAACTTGAAGGGATACTATGTTACATGGACATATTCTTATCTTGCCTGTTCTCATTCACACGTCGTTAATCTGGAAAAGAATTTTGTAGATCTTTTTATTGATGTTTTACAGAATTTAATAGTTAGACTACGGATTTTATGCATTTATGAGGAAATTGAATGTGCAAAGGGTGTAAACACTGCATATAATGCATAAAAAATTCAGAATACCAGACGCAAAGTGCACATTGCAATGTTTAAAAAATAAAATAAATTTCTGTTTAAAACACATTTTTTAAACTGATACTCTAAATAGTTTATGTTATAAAAAGTTCTCAGCCTAATAATAATGCTAATGCAATCTATTGAATATTACTCGGTGTAATAAACCTATTGTACCTAATAAACCTTTTGTAATAAACCTATAAAACTGAAAAGTGAGATTATCGAATACCAAGAAAAGAGAGTATCAAGAAAGAAAAAATTATTTGAGATGTTTTGGCGAGAATATTATTGATGTTTTTTAACTCAAAATCAGTGACTCAATCTGCAACTGGTGTGGCACTGGGGCAAGGAAAAGCCTGAGGCAGTGTTTGCACGTTTTTTAGGACATGGCGCGCATAAATTTTCGGCTCGGTGGATTACTCAATTGGTTTCGCACAGGTCATTGAACCTTCAGTAATTCGTTGCTCTTCGAAATAGAAAGAAACCGATAGAAATTGCTGCTTTCTACAAATGATTCATCATTACTTATGTGGTTAGTTCCTTTTAAGTGCATGTTTAATGAAGGGATGGAAAATTTTTACCATTAGTAGATACTAAACTTGACTAATTGTGAGCTAATTGAAATGCAAAGAATTTCTGTTACGTAACTATCTCTATTTCTAGTAAATGAAGGGCTTGAAGAATGAGAATGTTATATAATAATTCTCCTTCTTTTATGCGAGTTGTTAACTTTTTTGTTGCTTGATCAATGATGCGACTTTTTTTACGCTCCGGTTTGAAGCGACGAACGAGCGGTCTGTTGAAGCTTTAGATTAAGATTGTTCTGGCTCTGACTATACAATCTCTGCAAAAAGTTATACGTATTTTAAATACGTATAGTGTGTTCTCTGATTTTGCTATAACAAGTATTATCAACTTTCGAAAGTTCATTATTATGACATTTGAAAAACGGAAACCTTTAAGTCTTTTCTCTCTGAATTCCAAATTCTTGTAACAGTAGAGTTGATGCCATTAGAGTAATCGCTACGACCATTACAGATAATTAACGCAAACGTTCTGTGTATCTTAATGATATATAACTGAATAAAAGAACATGAATTTTTAACTGCCGACGAGTAATTAATTGTTCAGATTAATATTCATGTTCCTTATTTTGGAAAATTTTATTTCAATAACGAAATGTAATACAGGCAAGTTGTTTTCAATATTAATCGTCGATAATATAATATTATAACGCGAAGATAAAGAACAAGTTTTTTACCTCTTATGTTTTTTATACTACTTGAAGGTTTTGTACTCTGTCTATGACGCTATAGGGTCAGGTCTAACTGGCAAATAATAATAACCACATCAACTAAAATAGCTGTACGTAATTGAATATTTTGCAGCTTTTTAATTCATTGAAAATGTTATCAAGTTTCGATTTTAATCACAAGTAGGGACACGCATTGTGTAACACGCATCAGAATGCGAAGACTAGAACGAGAGACTAATTGACCAGGGGTCAGCATCGCGTTATCTGAAACTAATAACAGTAATAATATTATATAATAACAACGTGCACTAGTATCAATAGTAGTTCCACGATATGTGTGAGGGGAAACAATTAATTAAGTGTTAAATTCGCATTGCGACGTCATCTAATTATTAGATTGTGCATGTTTATACAAAATGAAATTTTGCGGTAGCTATTTAAAAAATGAAGCTTAGGTTAAAATTTATTTTTCCTTTTAAAGATAATGATCAGTATTAAATACGTTCTGCATATTTTTCCATATTGCACACATTCCTTATATTTTTTGCACATTCAAATAAATATGTATTTTATGTACATTATCGACTAAATGTTCAGAATTACTTCCTAAAATCAAATTTATTGTCTACTGCATATGAAAAAATAGATTTATTACTTTCTTTTTAATTCTATTGCTTGGACTATGAAATTCGAAACATGTAAACGGTAGTGTATATATGTACATACCGAAGGGGTACTAAGTGATTGTGGTGGGGAAACGGAAGAAAAACCGAAGGGAGAATAAAAGGAACTGAATGGGAAAAGGAAGAAAAGCGTCGGAGTCTGAGCATCGTTGCGTTAGTGAATCGATAATGTGCGTCACGATAAATCCGCAAACTAGGTCAATAAGGAATAACGTCTGTGCCGATGACCGTCCTTGTATATCGGAGCTAGTCTTTTTGCTCGCGGACCGATCATCGATCAATCTCTTTCCTTCCTCTCGTATGATACTTCATTTTATTGTTAAAAGCACGCCTTCACGTTTCCATTCTTTACAGAATAACATACTGAGAATCACTTAAACATTATCTCTCATCTTAAGCAATTCCGGAATTTAAAAACTCTTTTAGTTTCATGTCTTAAACATGTTTTTTTCTTTTATGTTTAAAAATCTATTTATATACTGATGCTATGCATAGAATTATTATTTTGACTCACTGTTTGTGAATTAATAGAATAAAATATAAATTAATACAAAATCATTGATGTATTTTGTCGTCGTTCATCAATTGTACTGTACAGTTCAAAATAATAAAAGGTGAATCAATTATCTGTTAATCAATAATATAAAATAATATATAATCGACTGTTGTGCTAATTCTCATTTAAAAATTTTTCATTAAAATCGTAATCCCGAGGCTAATCGCACTCGTCCTTTGGTTGCCTCGATAAATATTCATCGAATTCTTCCGGAATCGAAATGGAATAGTACATTGTGTACCTAGGGCGCAAAATAGGGCATTCTAGCACTGGCACGAGTGTGAATTTCGCCCGAGCGAAGCGAGGGCGACAAATTCACACGAGTGACAGAATGCCCTTTGCGCCCGTGGTGCACATACTATTTTTTGACACGCCGGGCGAGAAATTCGACCATTGAAAATTGTATGTTCATCTTAATTACAAAGAAAGGGGTCCAGGGGGCGAAGTCCCCTGGTGGGGGTTCGGGCGGGGGCGATGTTTCTCAGGGCGGGGTTATGGGGGGTTCTGGGGGCGAAGCCCCCCGTCTTTCAAAAATATTTTACCAATTTTTTTGAAATAATAGTATATTTTCACATACCGACATACGAAAAAAGTATAATATCAAGCAAATCGACCAAACAGCGTGTTGCACGGTAAAATGACCGACACTGCGTTAGTATATTAAAGATATATATTTGATCGGGTCGCGACCAGCTTCTTCCACGTCCAGAGCTGTACTGTTTTAAAATGTTCCCGAAACGCAGCACGTCTCGAGATTTTTAGACGTTGCCGTCGTTATCGGGCTGCCCGTATACCTTACAAAGTTCTTCGCGTTTCCGGCTGGCATTTACCATACTCGTACAATGTCTTACCATCTTATCCTACACTGTACTGGTACGGAACATTGTAAGAGCCTACAGTTTGTTTAATCGATAACAAAAGCCATTGAAGTTGTCATTATATCATTTTCCGCCCTAGGGCGGGAATGTGCTATTTTGCGCCCGCTAAACATGCACGAGAAACCGAATTTCGCGCCCGGAGTGTCAAAAAGTATACTTACACATGCGCGCTGCATTCGGTTATCCTTGAACTGTACGATGACGCGTTCAAGCTTGGACCTCGATTTTTTGCATGCGAGAAAAAAAGAATTTAGTGATTGGTCCCTTGTTGGTCCAGGTATGTTTGATTCGTAGAATTGATGAAAAAAGAGTTAAATAAAGAATAACGAAACCAACAAGAAGTAAATTGTGCAAAAAATTTTTTTATTCATTAGTTCCTATGGTCACGATCATTAAAACGAGTGTGAGTGACCATGGGACATGAAAATGTATGGACGCATATGATGAGCATAAAGTGTATAAGAAATTATGTAAAAAGAATTGGCTTGTAATTTTTACAGTGTGAAATTCTCATTCACATTCAGAAGAATTGGATTCTAGGAGATTAATATTAGTAGAGTTGTAGGCAAGACACATTTTTACATATAACTTTCTGCAAATTCAAATAAAATCAAATATCTGTAGTCTAAACACAATTCTCATCAATACAGTTATAAATAACACTACATAATAATAAAATACAGAGAAATGCAAAAGCGATCTATGTTTCATCTACGAATGCTTTTATTTTTATAGAAGAGACAATTGACAACTTTTATGAGGAAGCAAATTATGAGGCGCAATGATAAACGCGTAACGAGGGTACCGCCTATTCCTTTCCGCGCACGGGCTCCTAATCGCTGTATTCTCTCTCACGACTTATTGCTCTCATATCTCGCGTCGCGAGTATTGATATATCTACGGTTACCCATTGACGACGCAACCTAATACATACATTTCTTCTTACTCTTTTTTATATATTTCCTTCTATTATTTTTTTATTTGTATTCTTTATTAGATTATATTTTCTATGAATACAATTATCGTATTTATCAATATTTAATATCTCCATATTGTTGTAGTAAATAATCAATTATTTTATATATGGATCGATATCAACATAATGGAACAGGGAGACAAAAGCTGGGAAAGAAATAATGTGTTGCATTCTTCTTAGAACCGGCAGAGGTTATTAGCATCTTGGGAATCACCGACGCGTTTAGACGCGCATTTGCAATGAATTAGCATTCTAAGGTCATGAGTTCGTTTACTTCTTCGTCGATATCTTAATCGATGACCACCGTGCCCCGCTCTCGGTATCTTGCAGAAAATAATTTCTAACTTCTGCCGTTCTCAAGGAAAATTTTCACATTCCGGTAGGTGCATACGTTGTTCCAACACATGTCATTATTTATTACCTGAAATTCGTACATGATGATATAATGATTAAATAAAATAAAGTCATAACTAGCTAATTCATTGTATTCTGGATCAACATGCATAAAGATGTGTTTACGCTATATAAGAAAACATTGTTATATAACTTTATTTCATATTTGTATATTTAACATATTTATAACTTGTTACGATAACTTGTTCAGTTGCGTTTATACTATACACAAAACGTGTTAAGAATTGACATTTGCTGAAAATCTCAAGCTAATTGCCTAATTTATATGTATTGGTATTGCCTCTCGAAATGCTTCAACTTTCATACTTATTTTGCGTCCAATTTTATTTATTAAGTATTCAAGATTAGAACATTTTATCTGTTCTAGGTTTAGAACTTGCATCTGCTAGAAGATCAATGTCATTATATTTTTGAGCTAATAATTATGCTAGGGCGTAGTCAAAATTTTTTCTATATTTTTCTAACAAAATTACACAAACAACTACTGCTAGAATTACTTTCTAGACGTTTTACCTCATTATAAATAATGAAATGAAAAATGTTTTATGAATTTGTTACAGTAACACATAATATGCTATATAACAGAAAAAGTGTTGTATTACATTATATAACATTATGCTTCTTACTTTGAACTTCGCTGCATATAGAAGTTCTGTTATATGTATAGTGTAGACGCAGCTTAAAATGCATATGTTATGTCATTTACTATATTACTTACAAAACTTATGGTATAAAATGATATAATAATTAGTTATTATTAATTCTTCCCCTGTAAAATGTTTACAACAACGTTTATCGCTAGTTTATATAATCAAAATGTTTGGTATTCAAACATAAACCATTGTTTTGGATCGAAGAAAAAGAAGTAATTCCAGTTTTGCGCAACATCTTCACTTTATGTAAGTCTTGTTTACACTGGAAGCGTGCGTATGCGTACATGAATGTGGTTCGCTTAAGATGAGCTGCACAATCATATTGTTTCCCATCTGACTGCTTGGCAGTTGTTTGCTATGTGGTTCCGCTTATCGAGCATCAATGAAAAATTCGACACGTCTGATATCTCTAGTCACAAGCTTTTATTTATTATCGGAACGACCCGTTTCACAATTGCAATCGCGTTACCACGTAATTCCCGTAACGCTAACGCACTTCCGCGATGACGGAAGATAAACAGCTGCGGGGTGTGTTCCACGTTTCGCTTTGTCTCGTGACCAATTGCAAATGTTACATCCAGTTTTTCTGAATGGGAATTGAGAAACGGTTAATGCATTTCAAATTGAGAAAAGTATAATTTTGTACGGAACGTATAAACGAGTAAAATTAAAATAATCAAAGGATTTTAGTTAAATGGAATGCTGTTAGATTAATATATTTATATTTAAATTGTATGAATCATATTCTTAGCTATCTCTCAGGAATTGATGATACAAGTTAGTTTTCAATTTGGCGTTCCCAATCACGTTTTGAAGTCAAGGTTCGAAAACATACTGGCCCCATTTTCAGTTTTCCAATCGCCCACTAACAATTTATTACAATTTATCATTATTCTTTTTTATTTACACTTCGAGGTTAATTCTTGTATCACTTCCAAATACAAAATTTCAAACCATATAACTGTTACTGGCAACATATAAAAAGCAGACATTGTGTACTTAGAATGTTTCTAGAAAATGCGTGAGTAACCTAGTAATTGTTTCATACTTTGCCCAAAAACGCCAAGCATTTTGGATAGTGCTTACGTATTTTATTTAAATCTCGACTTGAAATGCGAAGAATTTTTTTCCAAAATATTGATCATGTGTAAAATCGGGGACTGGAGAATTCCTTAACAACATTTCGTTAACCGGTTCCGTTGGGTCGTTGTTTGTTATAAACCGACGAACGATTATGAAACGCGTGTGCAAACTGGCGATGGTTCAAGTTCGCGAGATTCCACATATTCTCGGATTGCTGCTCATCAGCAAACAATCGACACCGTTGGTAAACACGCTGATGACTTGGAGACTACGGACTTTTATTAGGAATTTCAAAATATCTATACAAGATCCTGGGATTTCGATATTTGTATCATCACTGCTTGATCAGTTTTCAATAGTAAAAGCGTCCAACTATTCTTTTTATTCATTGTAATGAAATTAATAATGTAAACATTTACATAATATTGGGTTGGGGAATAAGTTCGTAGCGTTCTTACCGAAGACTTTTATTTAAACAAACAACAATAATTATATCAATAAGTTAATCAATTATAGAATCGTTTTATGATCGCAGTTCATTTTTTCCGCCAATTCACGACTGGTTTGGCGACCGTTCTCCTTCAAAAGTGATTTGAGACGTTCTTCATCGAATTCAGAAGGCCTTCCGCTGCGGGACGTGTCATCGACGTTAAAGTCGCCATTTTTTAACTTTGCAAACCATTTCCGTGCTGTAGACTCGCCTATGACACCTTCTCCATACACGTCGCAAATGTCCCGGGCTGCTTCGGCAGCTTTTTGACCTCGATGAAAAGCAAAGAAGAGCAGGTGTCGAAAATGTTGATTTTTGCCTCCTGGGTATTCCATTTCTAAGCCTCAGAACTAATAAAAAATTAAATAACTCAAAAATACAATTAACATAGTTTTGTAGAGCAGAAAGAGTTCTATTGAATGAATACTTACCCGTTGCAAACAGCAAACAAATCGTTGTAAAATAAAAGAAATTATAAAAACGCTATGAACTTATTCCCCAACCTAATATGAAGCATAGGCCAAATATTTTCTTAAGGGTATAATAATTGTAATGTGTATAACGTTATATAATTTTGTGACGTGATATAATTATTGATATAATTTCTGATATGGTTGTTTGAAATGACTATTAGTCTTGATATTCAAACAGTTTGTCGTATGTGTCGTGGAAGAAGAAAAGTGCAAAGACCTGCCTTTGAATTCCAGTGTACGACGCGTCCGTGAAAATTCCAACGGGCGTAATCACGGGCAATTACCAACAGCTAGGCAATTACGACGAGTGTCTGCAAGTGAAAAGCGGACACGGATTCACCGGGAAGGCCTGCACTGCCACGGTGAATTTCGAAATCGGCGAGGACGACGGAAAACCGCGTCAACGGCCCGATATGGGTGATCTGTTTCGCAATGTGGCAATCGCATCCGTGAGTAAATCTGTCTCTATCTTATTATCGCGTTTCCAAAACCATATTTTCAGTTTTTTGCTTCAATTGTAAACTGAGTATTCAAAAGTCAATTATTTATGAACTAGCATTTCCTGTCGTGAATTTTACTCCTTTCACCACCTAAGATGTGGAATTTTGAAAAATCCAGAGATTAGTTTTTAGTATTTTTATAAATGAATGAAAGCGGAATTTCGAAAAATCCTCGCTTAGAACCTGCAACATAATAGGAAATTACTCTTAAAATTTCAAATAGATTGATACGACAGTTTTTGTCGAGACGATGAGTCAGTGATGAAGTTCTTTTATGTGTACGTATATACGTATGTATATATTGTCAAATAGCATTTTGTCTCAACGATATACCTTTTGAAAAATTCAATGAATTGGAATATAATATCCTTATTCCTTAAAAAAATAACGTGAAAATATACTTAAATCGTGTAAATATAAATGTTGAATACATCTGTTCAACGAACATCTGGCCTATTAAATCGCTCTGATAACGACTGATGATCAGTTTGTAGATCGGTAATCTCGATGCGATAAACAGCGAATGGTTTGATAATGATTGTAATCAGACAATCAATGGTTCGGAGCAATGGCCGATAACTGTGTGGAAGAGTACAATTCGTTTATTGCTACTTTAAAAACGATATTACTGATAGATCCCTATAGTACTTAATATGTCTGATATCTGAAGGAGAAAAGAAATGACCGATTCCGTGTGATAATTTTGCGAGTAAATAAAGTTGTATCAGCACATTTCTCGAGTACAAGATATCGAAAGAATTAATATGACAGATATGAATGATATTTCCTTGATTCAGGGAAATCCAAAATGGAAATCGAACCGTACGGTGAACTATGAGTGGATGTGGTGCGTGCCATCCAGCTGCAATCACACGGAAATACAGGAGACATTGGAGATCGTCCTCGACCCTCTCAAGGTGGAGGATCGCGTAGATATGGTGGTGCACGTCTCGTGCCGAACCGCAGAAACCGATCAGCCTGTTTTTGACGTAATCGACTGGATTTACATGTACGTTCCCCTTTTATAATTTTTTGTCATAGAAAACATCATAAAATAAATACAGAGTATGAGTCAATTTAAGAAAGAAGAAAGACATTCAAGTTTTAGTGCCCAAAATAATTAAACAAGTAATTTAAAATGGTGGGTCTCCAGAGTCCTACGAGATTCGAAGAATTAATTTGTGATAATAATAATTTTTCTGACAAACAGAATTTCCTTGAACTTGTTCTGGTATAAGATCATCTGCAAAAATTCTTTGTTGCATTCTCTGAATGTCGTTCAACAATTCCTTGTTAACTTGTGCAAACTATATTATCATAAAAATAATAAACTGCCTGACAATATACGGTGGAAGATATTATTATATTAAATTCTATTAATTACTTACTGGCTTTATCAAGATACAACGAAAGACTCAATCTTTCTTCACCTGACTTTTATTCATTGATCCCTGTAATGGAAAAAGTGGTAAACAATTTTTTTCGCTGTTAATTGTTACGGTTTGGGATAAATACTATCGTGTTTCGCGGTTTTCACAGTAACGCAAGCGGCTCCGGTGGCATGGTTATTTGCCAGTGGCTTCGAGGGCAAGGCTGAACGCGTGCATCGCACGACAAACCTCCTCAATCCCACTTCCACTTTATCTCTGTTATGTAAACTACGTGACCGCGCTTTTGTTATTTTATTTATCATCCATTGCGAATGTATTTATAATTGTGTAGACTTAAACCTTGAAATGTCAAAGTACTTTTAAAAATAAAATTTCAGAACATGCTGGAAGCGGTTATTTTCTCATTTTAATTTTTTCACCCTGCATATTTGTTTTAAATTATTGTAATACTCTAAAATTGCTCAACATGTATTCATATTACGTGTATAACACGTACTGTAATTGTGTAATTCAGTTTATTTTTTACTGTAAAAATATTCCTGGAAAACATCCTTGTTTTATTATGACAAAATTTTTTTCTAATATTAATATATATAAATAAATATATAATATTAAAATTCGTTGACATAATAAAAATGAAGATTTAAAAATTTTTTACTTTTACACTTACATCACTTCCATAATAACCGGCTCAATTATGCTTGTGTCTATTATAAAGTACAATTTCACAGCGCAACGCGTGGGAGCGGTTTTAATTATTGCAGGTCGTTTCAAATTTCAGATCGATCCTTGTGATATTCGTGGTGATGATAATTGCCAGCACGAGTTACGATATTACTAAACAAGGCCATCTAAGTACGTTGAACCGAAAAGGTGAGTCGGTGACGGAGTCGTTCGTCCTCTTACGTAAACGAAAATTTATTGGAAATCCGTCACATATCTCCGGTCGCGAAAATAAGTCCTCCCCTCACCTCTTGAGGGAAATGATAGAATCGACAGATTGTTGATGTCATGTGATCGATAGAGATTACTTGGCCACCAGATAAGGATCAGTGTGAAGGACACTTTGTTTATCTTGCATAAGCGCTTTATCGTTGTTTGCACCAATAAACATCTCTTCACTATGTGTTATATTATGCATGCTTTCCTAATCTTGCGAGTTCCAAGAGATTCTGTTCTCATTCTATTTCATAAGATATTAAACTCCTCTTACTTTTTTATAAGAATTCTTGTTTTATAAAAATAAGGACTGTTTATTACGTAATTATTAATATAATATATATAAATGTCAAATAAAATTGTCAATCATTCTATCAATTAATTATCAATCAAATTAATTTTAATGAAGAGAATGTTTCTTATGCTTCTTTAATAGGAAAAGTCATATACCTTTGAACAGTTTTGTACTTCGCTCGATAGTGTAGGATTTTTCCGTGCCTCATTGACAAATTTACATTTAATTGTTTAATTCTTAACACATGGAGTGATACCCTACAGTAGGTCGCTGAATTCGCCTCAACAAGGGTTATGATATATGTATGTATGTGTATATAGGACTCCATTTAAAGAAATTAATTTGCTCTGTTTAGACAAAAGACACGTGCTCCTGACCTCGTTCTCCATTTACACGAACGGGAAGAATTTATTGCGAACCGATAGGAGCCAAAACTCCATCAGATGCCTTGACGGTCTTCGTTACATCAGTATTTGTTGGATCATTTATGGTCACACTCATTACATCGAGGCGGTTGGTGTTAAAATGAATTTGAACGAAATTCCGCAGGTAAGATGATTGATGGATTTTATTATATACAATGAACTATCTTCTAGTTTCAAAAACACTGCTAAATATACATTTATAAATAATAAAATAATAAATATTTATAATAAATAAAATTGTCC